CCGACCCCACTCATTCACATTGGTATGATTGTTTTGGGTTTTCTGATGGTGGGCTAAATTTTGTAATGTAAGTTCACCTATGAAATATTTCAGATATAGTGCTTGCCAAAGCAGCTGGCACTGGTTCTCATTGTCTACCTGTTTGGTTGAGTGAAACTTAGATTCAGTAATGACCTACATTGAATAGAGTTAAAATGTCAAACTTGGGGAGCTGGTGATGTTGGGGTAAATGTATTGTGTGCAGCTGACATATATTCTCTGAGTCCCCTAAAATGGATGTTCATGGTCACTTTTGAGAAAATACAGTGGTGAGGGTCATGCCAACATCCTTAAAAAGTGCGGCAGTGATTGTCTTCTCTGGCCTTGATAAGAATTTGAGAGATGCTGCTATTAAAAATGGTCTCCTTGATTCCAGTGGGATTCTAGAATTAACAGTCAAGCAACAGAATCTAACCACTAGTGACATGGTGAGCATGATTATTGCCAATGCTCTTGGCAAATTGGCCAAAAGTTGCTCACTAAGGTCTTATTTCATCTTGACACCTGAATTAAAAACAAAAACAATCCAACAAGATACACTTTAAGCTTGACGTCTGTAGGAATTATTTTAGGCATTATAATGGAATAACACAATTCCCCACACTATCACTTCAGAGCTTACTCTCCTTGAGTAACGGAGAATGTATCTTCTTTGGAGGAAGGACTCCATGTTACTGTCAGCAAGTACCAAGCCCCCAAACCAACTGCTCTCAAGGTAATCCCAATTTATAGTAAATCCAGAGGGCAGAGGAGAACTGTGCCCTACGATGTCCAAGGTGGTAAATCTTTATTTACTCCTGTGGAGTAGATGGTGGCTTTGAACCACTAATCTTGTAGTTAGCAGCCCAATGCGTGTGACCCACTATACAACTAAGTCTCCTTACCAAACAAGAAACTCACTGCCATTGAGTCTATTCCAACTCATAAGGACCCCTAGAGAGTTTCCAAGACTAAATCTTTATGTGAGCAGAAAGTCTCCCTTAGTCTAATTACGAATATAACTTTTCCAGGGAAAGAAAAGTAGGCAAACGTTTTAGGGATTATTGGTTTTTAGCTAATGCTAGTTCCTAGTGATTGATAATACCATTGTCCTCCACCAGGCAGAACAGGAGCTAGAGGAGCTTGGGCTTGCAACTATTTCACGGTGGCCCTGGTGGGTCTTTGAATTTATCTGGTGGCTACATTGTTTCTTAAGGCATATTTATAATAAGGGTGCTCAGAGTAATATTCAAAATTGGTTACCATGTCCATGGATTAAGAATTCCTATGGTAGGAAGCCAATTCTGGTCTGTCTATTTGTTGTACTCTAGTGGCTTGTGTGTTGCTATGACGGTAGATGCTATGCCACCAATATTTCAAATACCAATAGGGTTGCCCAGGGTCAACAGATTCCATTTGAATTTTCAGATGGCGATGGACTAGGAAGAAGGACCTGGCAATCAACTATGAAACTAGCCAGTGAACACGTAGTGCATGGGATTAGAACATTGTTTGACAGAGTGCCGGAGGTGAGCCCCCTCCTGAGTTGGGAAAGACTTAAAATAAGAAGCAGCTGCTGCATATAGCTGTTAATAAATGGAGCTTGGAATGTATAGAATAGGAAAGTAGGAAATTTTGAAGTTAGTAAAACGAAGTTAGTTTTGAAGATCAGTTTCCTAGGCCCTAGTGAACTGAAGTGGATGGGTATCGGTCACTTGGAATCAGACACTCATATGTTGTCTGATGGCTAGGAATGACAACTGAAGAGGAAGAGCATCATGTTCCCATTCATCATCGGAAAGATTTCAGTACCCTGAAGTACAGTGCTACCAATGACAGGATACTCATACAAGGAAGACCAGTTAATCTGAGTACTATTTAAACCAGTGCACCAACAACTAATTCCAAAGACGAAGAAGTTGAAGTGAGTTTGTTTGACCAATTTATGCAGTCTAAAATTGAATGAGCACAGACGAGATGCAATGCTAATTACTGACGATTGAAATACTAAGGCTGGAAGAAAGAAGGCGGGTCCACCCTGCTGCCATCAGGTTCATTCTGACTCGCAGTGACCCTGTAGGGTGGAGTTGTTCTGCTCCTCAGGGTTTCCGAGGCTGAACATCTTCACAGGAGCACACAGCCTTATTTCCCCCACCGATTGGCTGGTGGCTTTCAACTGGAGCCACCAGAGCCTTTAAAAGAAGGAATTGGAAAATATGGACTTGGCGATAGATTTGATGCAGGAAATTGCATGAAAAAACGTTTGCAAGATCTTCAATTTATTCATTAGAAATACTTTTTAACCCAACAATGCATGTAGCCTTTGTCAGATGGACTACACAGAAATCATTTTGACTACATTTGTGGGGAAAATGCTGGAGAATATTATTAGTCAAAGCAAGGACGGGTCAACTATGGAAATATTCTTAAGCAAGCTAAAGCTGAAATTGAAGAAAATTTGAACCGAATCCACGACAGCCGAAGTACACCTTGACTATATCAAACCTGAAGAATTGAAGCACTGGCTGATGAAGATCAAGGATTGCAGTCTTCAGTATGGATTACAACTTAATGTCAACAAGACCCAAGTCCTCACAACCAGGCCAGTGGGTGACATCATGATGAAATGGAGAAAAGAAAAATACCATGTACTGTAGTCCTCAAAGTAACATCCTTGCTTTTCAACAGTGTGCAGCAGATTTACCTAATACAATATGCCGTTTGCTCATGTGGCTACTGCTTCCATGAACATTGATTGTGGATCTAAGCAAGTTGAACTTCTTGATAATTTCAGGGTTTCCTCTGTTTATCATGATGTTGTTACCTATTGGATCAGTTGTGAGGATTTTTATTTCCTTTACATTGAGTTATAATCCATACTGAAGGCTGCAATTCTTGAACTTCAGCAAGTGCTTCAAGATCTCTAGAACATAGGGTTATTATAAGTCAAAATCAACTGTAGCGTCCTGTTATAACAACAATCAACATGTTTCAGAAAATGACTCAGACAGACTTTGAAGGCCCAGGAATTTTCCTGATAGATAAAGGATATCTGTTTATGAATTTGCCTATTCCATAAGGATCCTATGATAGTTGTCCATTTTGTATCTGATTTCTTTAACATTTGGGATAATGTTTTCACAATTCATATTTTAATGAATTCAGTATTGTAATGGGAAAGTAATATTCCATTGTATGTGTAGACTACATTTTGTTTATCCACTCATTTGTTAATAATCACATTTTTCTATCATTTGACTGTTTTGAATAATGTTGGTATGAATATTGGTCTTCCAGTATCTGTTTAATTTATTATTTTTAGTGATATACCATGTTGTCTGTGTATTCTGCTCAATTTAAAAACACACTCTTTTTCACTTCTGCAAAGCCTGTTGGCTTTTTGCTAAGTTTAACTCTGGAAAAAAATTGTATGTTGCAAATAAAACTTTTGAATAATAAAAGACTTTACTGGAAAATCGGAAAATCACATTGCATTCCTACCTAAATTTTTGAATAACCACAAAAAGGCTTGTTTCAGTTGTAATAAACAGACTTCTTTCATTAACTTCTAAATGGATCAAATATGAAAGCCTTTTGTAAAATTGTTTCCTGCATGCTTTCTTTTCACTGAATGAACAGCTTTTGCTTTCCTTATTCTTTGAAAGTTGCTCTCTATTGGCATAATTAGATCTCCTTGTTTGGGCGAATGTTGATTTTCTGGTTGATTGTTTAAGTTTATTATAATAATAGTTTTGAGTCAAAGTTAGAAGAACCTTTTTAAATGTGATTTGTTACAAGACAGATTTTATAAATCAAGGATGGAAAACTTGGGACTTGCTAGATGAATATTGCCACATTTTAATCATTCCTATTAACATGTAGTGGGAGAAAGATGAGGCTTTCTACTCCTGTAGTCTTGGAGGCCCAAGTCTTGGGGCAATCTACCTTGTCCTATAGGGTTGCCACGAGTCAGAACTGACTTGATGGCAGTGAGTTTTTTTGGTTTATTAACACACAAAGCTTAACCTCTGTTCATTGCCCTCTAAACTACTGAAATGAATATTTCATTTATATGAGGGACCTCAAAAGTTCATAGAACAGATGGAATGAAAAGATAATGTTTCTCCCCTACACACACACACACACACACACACACACACACACACACACACATTTTCTGAAGCCCCCGTGTATGTACTTGGAAAGTCAGGAGTTCTGTTTTCCTAGCATTGCACCTGTACTTAGTCATTTTCTCTGAAGAGAGACTCTTCTAAGAGGAGGAGGAAAGCCCAGGGGAAACATTAATAAAATGTTAATGTTCCAAACAGAATGCTTTGGGAGAAGTAGAAGAGCTGGTGCCAATGTCAGTGAGGTTTTGACTAAGATTCTTTTTACTCTGTGGAAGTTTGATGCCAATTGGAGGAAAAATTAATCAAACTATGCCAGTATTGATTTTCTTAAAAAACATTTTCTGGAGTAAACTTCTTGAACATTTTATATATATAATATTTATTTATTTCCCCATTTTTTAGTTTTAAAAACATCTACTTAAATTACTCTCTGACAGTTTCTAAACCCCTGTCCAGCTGTTCAGCTGAAACAGTTGCATCATATGTACATAAGTGCCAGCAAAACAAAAAGCAGGGACTGTAAATCCAATGGGTAACAGATACAGAATCTAAAGAGTGTTGTGGCTTTCATTTTAGAGTGAGCTGGGACTGCGTGTAGCATAGGATATCATGTAAGGTTCTTTGAAGATGATAGCCAAACGCAGTCTAGCTCCTAGCATGTCCTGTCCATCCTCAAGTTACTACATAGAGCATCCCTAAAGTTGACTTGCCAGGTGATCCCTTTTTTCGTGTCACGGGGTAATTTTTTAATAACAGTGCGGTGGGCCAGAGTTCTCGAAAGGGAGCATTGGGACACTTGACAGTCTCTGGAGATGTTTTTGGTCATTATATCTTGGGTGGAAGCATCTAGGGATGCTACTAAACACCCCACAGTTGACAGGACAGCTGTCCACAGCAAAGAAGTATGTGGTCCCAAATGTCAATATTACCAAGGCTGAGAAATCTCGCCTAGACAGTGGTCAAATTGCCATTCTCAGTAATGCTTGAAAAATTTTACTTAAACCTGTAACAGAAGTGTAGTGCTAACAGTACATTTCAGCTACCACTTAAATTACCTTGTCTTCATAGAAAAGCTCTTCTTAAGTTTCAATTTTATGACAAAATAACAATACTTTATAAATTATAATCAATGGTTCAAGAGGGAGTGGGGAGTGGGGAGGAGCTGATATCAAGGTCTCAAGTAGAAAGCAAAGGTTTTGAGAATGATGGCAACAAATTTACAATGTGCTTGATACAATGGATGCATGTGTGGATTGTGACAAGACTTGTACGAGCCCGCAATAAAATGATTTTTAAAAAAGGTTCAATTTAGGATACTGTGAAGATTACCTATTGGGGAACAAAGGATAATTATTCCCATGATACAGTAGAGGCTCTAGCTTTCTGTCTCTTCTCTGTTTTTCTGCGTGTCACTTTTGAGCATCTATATGGTAGGATTCACTTCAGTATTATGCTTAGAAGTTAAAGACTTTTATGCTCTTTTAAACATAAAAAGATGAAGTAATATATTAATTTATTCAACAAATGTTCATTTAGAAATAAATATTAATATATATTGACTACTCAGCTTTCTGATTGCCCTGTAGCTAATTCACTTGGATTTTATTAACAGGATCAGGAGAAGGCCTGGGGAAAATAATCCAGAGATTTCCACAGAAGGACTGGGATGATACACCTTTTCCACAGGGAATTGAATTGGTATGTTTGTGCTGCATTATTGCACACTTTTCTTTTTTTAATAATTATACTTTCCCCATATTTTCAAATGTCTTTAAATGTTTCAGTAATTGGTTTGTTTGGGATTTTCTGTACAATGTGCTTTATGTGAATGTTTACACAGTAAATTAATTTCCCACTCAATTCACACGTAAATTGTTCCATAACACTGATTTCTCTTGCAGCAATTTGTCAGCTCTCTCCCCATTTCCCAGTTCCCATCCCTCTAGTTTCCCTGCCCTGCTTGCCTTCCTGTCTTTGCTGTTGGGCAAATGCGGTTTGAGCTCATATAATTGATTGTTCTAAGGAGCACAGTCCTCGTGCGTGTTAGCACTTATTTTGTAACCTAATATTTTATTGGCTTAAAGGTGAACCCCCCCAGGTTAAAAGAGTATTTTCAGAGGATAGTCATGGGGAGTTCCCCCAGGGCCCATCAGTCCAAGAAGTCTGGTCTTTTTTATGTGTAAGGAATTTGAATTTTGTTCTACAGCCCTCCTGCCCCCCATTCTAACCCAGTCTTTTTACTATGATCCTGGTCAGAGAGGTTAGTGGTGGGCACCATCCAGTTTTTCTGGTCTCAATAGCAGAGGCTGTGATTCATAAGGGCCATGAGTTCTATGGACTAATTGCTTCCATGGGTGTGGGGGAAGGGCCAGCCCCCCACCACTAATCACGGGTTTGACAGACGCAATTGTACGGTTGAGATATATAAATATTATATTAAAGTCATAGGGAGCATGAGAGATAGAAGAGAGATTGAAATAATGGAGTCAGACACATTTCATAGTAGCAATGCTCACCTCAGCCCTGCTTGGTGGTCCACGTGGAGGGAGGGGGAGGGGAAGGAGAACAAGGGGAAAGGGAACAGGGGAGGAGAGGGAGCTGAGAGAGGCCAAGAGGGGAGCCCAAGAGAGAGCTCTTTATTGCTAACCCAGGCCCATATACCTTTGGGGAGAGTGCAAGGCCACCAATTACAGGTAAAGACATATGTCCCAGGAAAGGGTTGTGCTATAGGTAATACAGTAATGGGAGGGTGGTGGTCTAGGGATATATAGGCAATAGGAAGAGGAGGGATTGGGGATATACATGTGGCAAGATGGGCGGATCCTAGATTCAGGATGGCAGTCTAATTTTGAATGTCACTGAGCCAGTTTGACCTGTTCCTTGGCTCAGCTATAGAGACCATTATCAGTAGGGTATGAACTCCGACTACATGGACCAAGCTAAGGGTTGTAAATCTTTAGGGAGAAGTAGCCCATTGTCCTTAACAGCAGGGAGGGGGCCTACCTGTAGTCTGGCAACTGACTGTCTTCAGTGAGGTAACTTGACAATTATTTACCATTAGCTGCAAGCAGTGTTCCAAGTCTAACATATTTGGGAGAACTCTTTCTGTCTCCCACACATGGGTCTTGGGCTTCTTCGCTCTCCTCTGCTCTGGCCGGAAGAGACCAAGAGTTGAATCTTAGAGGGCCTCTGCAAGCTTTTGAGACTGTATGCGACTCACTCAACAAGGATGTAGAACATACTGTCTGTGAACTAACGATAACATTCACATCTTTGGGAACGGAAAATATCCCGCAGATTTTTCAAGTAAAAAATACCTTAGCTTGAGTGCTGATTTACCACCAAAAATATTTATTGTATTTCAAGAATTGAAAATGCCAGGCTTGTTTTCTTTGTTTGTTTCTTTGTTTGTTTTAGTGAAAAACAATAAGAAACACAAACCAAGAGCTAGCGAGGTTGGTTTAATGATAAACAGTCAGGATTTAAGTTTTGTCTGGAAATCTGAATTCTTTTCTTCCTAGCTACAAGAGCTGTAGGTTGCATTGTATATGGTAGAGAATTGTAACTCCTTTAATTTTTGTCAGCCTCTAAAAAAAACTTTTTGAGCTAATAACGGTGAGTACAAGAATGAAGAAAATGTTCTTAAACCTATTGTAGTGATGATTGTACAATTCTTCTGGATGTGATTGAACTATTGAGTTGTGCATGACATGAGAATTTTATGCCAATGAAGCTGTTATAAAAACTTTTTATTGTGAATTAGATGAAGGTTTACAGACCATTAGTTTGGCATTCAACAATTCATAGATATTTTGCTTCTACTCATCCATTACAATCTTCAGTGTATCATCATTTATCCCACATCTGCCCTGAGGTTCCTGTTTCCATGCTTCGTTTCTTAACCCTGGTGGGAACTTTATCCTTGGGTAAAATCTGCCATTTTGATTATTCTAACATGAAGGTGAGTTTAATTCCAGACCTGAAAGATGAAGAGTTAGTCTTAGGAGTCCCACCAGTTTCTATTGAGCCAGTAAGCCTGGTCTCTATAGGTTTGAGTTCTGCTCCCCATTTCTCCCCACTCTATCCAGGTCCTTCTAATATGATCCTTTTCAGAGAAGTTGGTAGAGGTAGCCCGTGTCAGCCATTGTTAAGAGATTTAGAAAAGGGAACCTAGTTCCGGATGCCCAGGACACACTTTTGTGGTGGCAGATGTATGGTGGTAAAATACAGGTATAGCAAGATGCTCAGTGAAGTGTCTGGCAAATCTGACAATGTTTTGTGGTATGGTTCTCCAACCATACTGGAGTGAATGTATGTATATATTTATACATTGCATGTGTATACACACACCCACACACGTCTATGAGTGGTGCCCTCCAGGCAGTTCTCACTGAGAGACATTTGGTTATTTGGTAACAAGACTCTGGAGCAGATTGCCTGTGTTGATTACCAACTGCACAGTATGACTTTGGTTAAGTAACTTTACCAATTTTGGGTATCAGAACACTCATCTGTAAAATCAGAATGATTCTACTCATCTCATAGGGAAGGTCCCTGAGTGGCACAAAGGGTTTGTACTGGACTCTGTACTTAAAGTTTGTAGCTCTGATCCACTCAGCTGTAACACAGAACAAAGGCTGTGTTCAAAGATTACAACCAAGAAAACCCTACGTAGCAATTTTATTCTGTAACACATGGGTCTTTATAAGCCAGAAACTACTTGAAGGTAATGGCTTTAATCTCATAGGAATGCTGTGAAGATAAAAATGGAGGTGGGGAAATATGCATAAAATGCTCAGAACAATGGCTTGCATGAAATAAGTGTCAATAAATGAGCTAGCAGATTGTTTATTGTTGTTACTGTTGCTGTCTGTTTGACATTTTGTGCTGCCCCTCACCCCCACCCCCACTACCATTCTTCTGTTAGCATGAATCAGAAGTATCTATCAGAATGAAACTGATGTTAAAAACTTCTCATCCCAGCTAGTAACTGTCTTGTTCTACTGAACTGGGGATAAAAGGTGCATCAGTGCTTACTTTTCTTTGTCATAAGCCAGTTGTATAAAGAATGCTGTGGGTCCTGTAGGCCTACAAAGAGAATAAGTCTTGAATTGTGATTTTAAAAATGGATAAAAATGTGAGAGTTTATGTGATCTTTTTGGAAAGTCCCTTGTATACCTTTATTCTTTCCCTATTGCCTGCACATCCCATTACTTGGCCTTAAGGTGTGGATAATCAGGTTTCTGTACTATAAAAGCTTTCAACCCATTTCAGCATCCTTTTTAGTGACGAAAAGGAAAAATTTGGGTCTGGAGACCTTACAGAACCTTTTGTTAGCTCTTGCCTCTCTTCATATCAAAGTCTAGTGATGTAAACCACAACAAAAAACCCAGACCCACTGCCATCATATCAATTTTAATTCATAGTGCCCTATATAAATGATGACAATATAAACAGTGAATACTACCTTTATGAATTTCAGTAAGAACAGATATTATGGGACAGAGAGAAGATCATGGATTGTCATAGATTGTCTTATTTAGGTAAGGACTGAAAAAAGATAATTTTTATAATTTGAAAATCAATGGAGTGTTGTTGTTGTTGTTCAGTGCCGTCAAGTGGGTTCCAACCTATAAAAACTGCATGCACAGCAGAAGGAGACACTGCCCACTCCTGCACCAGCCTCACAATTGCGCCTAGGCTTGAGACCATTGTTGCAACCACTGTCAATCTATCTCCTTGCGGGCCTTCCTCTTTTTCACTAGCCCTCTGCTTTACCAAACATAATGTCCTTCTCCAGGGACTGGTCACTCCTGACAGTATGTCCAAAGTACGTAAGAGGAAGTCTTGCCATCCTTGCCTCTAAGGGACATTCTGGTTGTTGTTTTTCCAAGACAGATTTGTTTGTCCTTTCAGCAGTCCACGGTACTTTCAATAATCCAACACCACAATTCAAATGCATCAGTTTTTCTTTGGCCTTCTTTATTTTGTGTCCAACTTTCACGGAGTCCTGGTGGTGCAGTGGTTATGCATTGGGCTGCGATCTGCATAGTCAGCAGTTTGACACCCACAGTAGTTCCTCAGGAGAAAGACTGGACTGGGCTTTCCACATCCATAAACAGTCTCAGAAACCCACAGTGGGTCACTATGAGTCAGCATTGAGTTGATGGCAGCGGGAGAGAAAGAGAGAGAGAGAGAACTTTCACATGAGTATGAGGCAATTGAAAATATCATGGCTTGGGTCAGGCATAGCTTAGTCTTCAAAGCAACATCCTTGCTTTTCAATACTCTAAAGACATATTGGTCCAATTGTGGGGATTTGGGTCTTCCTTATATTGAGTCATAGTTCCACCGATCTTCCTCCAGTAGCAAGAGAGAGAGATACATTGAGTATCCTTCTTGGTAAAGAGTAGCTTTTTCTTTTATAAAGACATGTTAGTTCTAGTGCAGTCAGGGTCTCTCCAGGTACAAGTCAAGTCAGGTACTGCTGGAGTTGGTGAAATGGACGGTCTAAGACAGCAGTTCTCAACCTGTGGGTCGCGACCCCTTTGGGAGTCGAACAACCCTTTCACAGGGGTCACCCGATTCATAACAGTAGCAAAATTATAGTTATGAAGTAGCAATGAAAATAATTTTATGGTTGGGGAGTCACCACAATATGAGGAACTATATTAAAGGGTCACAGCATTAGAAAGGTT